TATACAACCGTGAGTCCTTTCTATGACATAGATGATTCTTGGCATATGAAGACTCATTGGTTCTAGGCAAATACCCCAGCTAGATCTTCTTGACTGCATTTTAATCTTCACCATTATTGTGTTTCACCTAAGAATGTTTTACTAATGCAATGGTTGGATGCCTTGTACAAACACTTGTTTGTTTGTAAACGGGTTGAGTTTTGGCACAAACAATTCTTGTAAATCTTTACAAAGACATCAAAATCATGTTCTTAATTCTCACAATCCATCTTTATCTTTCAATTAACTTCATGTTGACACAACGGTTAATTGAATTCCCAAACACAAGGATAACAAACGGATGATTAACTACATATTCAGATCCTCGAGCTAGGGGGTGACTTTTACATTTGATAACTTATTATATTTTGTCTAGAAAATCCTCTTGGAAAAAATTGTATATTCTGTGGAGGAAATCCCATAAACTCATTCTAGTCACTTGGTCTCTATCACTGCTTACTTCAAAACACCAACATTAGTTCCCTGTGAATTCGACTCTGGATTTAACTGGATTATTATTACAGCTTGACCGCCTGCACTTGGGTGTACACCAATGTTAGGTCCTGATTAAAGCTCGGTCACAATAGCTTATGAAAATTTGTATTCTCTTTGGGTGAGAATGTAACACAATAGTTGGAATAATTTTGCTTGCCTTTATTGATAGTTTCTAGTTTCTTAAATAGGTTAAAGTCTAACAAATGGAGAGCAAGAGAACGTAAAAACAGACTCCTAAACCAGCTCTAACACTTAGTTGACTGGATAAGTTGCTTTTGACTAATTAAACAAATAATGGACAACAAAAGAATGAAAAAACAGACTACTAAACTAGCTCTAACAACTAGTTGACTAGGCAAGTTGCATTTGCATTTAGCCGTTTGTAGCTCCTTCAGTCCCGTGTGATCCCCTACAATCTTCATCCCTAATACTTGGTGTTCAGTTTTGGCCTCCTTTCCGAACTACGCGGCTTATCATTATCTTGCTGTAAAAGTTGATGAATGTTTAAGGTATTAGTGTCACTTTAATTAATTATGGTAGTGGGAAGATTATATCATTGTATTTTTTTTTACCAATTATATCATTAATTAATCGTGAACTACCATATTGAACTTTTACCCACAATATATAACAAAACACATTAAGTTTTTAGTTTATTGTCTTTTATTTTTCTATCATTAAGTTCATTGTCGGTGGGGTGGGGGTAAGATATAGTGAAATTTTTAAATAACTTCTTTCATTAACAATATTTTTATCATGTATATTTTATGGACATTTTGTCTTATAAATGTCTAAGGTAGACCTCTCGTCTTAAAAATGTGAATTTGTACCTATAGCATGAATTTCCAATCATTAATCCCTCAGAAAATTAGAGAACCCACAACAAAATAGAGGACCCGCACCAAAATAACTTGGTGATTTTTTCACGCACTCTTGCATTGTATAAATTGGAAGAAAGTCATTGAAAAATTAAGAACAAAATCAAATATAAATAATTTTTGAGATTAAAAAAACATCATATTCTATTTTAATATGTTATTAATACTGATTTTGTGATTCATGCAGTACTTTAGGCTTCATGCATTTATAAATTTTTATGCATGAATTGATAACTTTTTTGGGATCTTCACAGCATTAAGATTACTCGAATTGCGACTTAACCTTACAAATTTGAATTGCAAAAATAATCACTCCGCCAAAAAAACCTGCAAGGAGGAACTACACCACATCTTTGACTCTCACGGAAGACAATTTTAATATTTAGCGGACTCATGCTTCATCTAGATTGCAATTGGAACTCATCTGAGCAATACGCATGCAGTCAAAAACAAAAGTATCGTTTTTTTAAAGCAAGTACTGTGGTGGTTTTTTTTTTTTTTTTTGGGGGAAAAAAAGAGAGATTTGAATTCTTGACCTAAAAAAGACAAATCATTTACAAGACAATGAGTACTATTGAACTAAAAATCCATTAATATACCGTGGTAGTTCTGATTATTAAAGGTGTGTTTGAATTGACTTAAAAAAAAATATTTTTTGAACTTTTGACTTATTATAAATACTTTTTTTTTAAAAAAAAAATAGTGATTGGGATTATTTATTAAAAGTAATTTTAAAAAAGTTAAAATCATTTCACCACTTAAATAAGTTTAAAAATAAAAGTTAAAAAATAAAATTTTTACTTATTTAAAATTACTTCTGGCCATTTATTTTTATCTTTTTTTTTTTACCTTCTGATCATCGCGACTCTACCGATACCCTCTTGCTGTGAACGTCTGAAGGCCCTTCTTCCGCTTTGGTGACCATCGACGACGATGCCGAAGAGGTAGGAGATCGGCGGCGACTATGACTGTTCTGTTCTCTCTTCTGTCTTCGTTCCTTCTTCCATATTGGTGACCATCGACGACGATGCCGAAGAGTTAGGAGATTGTCGGCGACTGTGACTGCTCTGTTTTCTCTTCTGTCTTTGTTCTTTTGGAGTTATTGGATATCCCAGTTCATCTCGAGCACGTACAAACTTGGATCTGTATATTATGTGGAGTATCTTTGATAGATTTGTCTCTCTCTCTCTCTCTATTCATCTCTTTGTTTACTCTTTTGGGAACCGTAGTTACTGCCACACACACACTGCTATATTATTATTAGAGTTGTCTTATTTTATTAGATGAATGCAATTTTGGCATTAGAAAGTTGTTTTGCACCTTATTCTACTGTAATAGATGGCATGATAAGATTGTGTGTTGTGCAACTTTAATGGATTATTCATTCATATAATCTATTTGATAAAATGTCTCTTAGAAAATTTGGATTTGATTTGTGCTTGTGTGTTGGTCCATTTCCTTTCTCCTCTATTCCTTTTGGTTTTCACAGTAGATATTGTTTGATTTCTTGCATTGGCACAAAATCTGACTATTGTTTGATTGTGTGGTCCTCTCGTAAAAGGTGGAGTTTGATTTGTGTCATCCAGGTTTTGCAGGAGGTGGTGTGGTTGTTAGAAATGAATGGGGTAGGCTGGTTTTGGCTGCTTCATTCTTTTATGGTGAGTGCTCCAACATGGTTGCTGAGTTAAGAGCATTACTGGATGGATTAAAGCTGGTACAGAGTTATGGGTTAATGCCTTATGATATCAAACTGGAATGTGATTCACTGGTGCTGGTAAAGTCTATCTTGGGCAGCTGTAAGTGTGCTTGGACTCTTTTGGGATTTCTGGATCAGATTAAGGAGTTATTGAGTGTTGGGAATTTCTAGATTTCACATATCTTCAGGGAAGCTAATTGTGATGCAGATCATTTGACTACTATGAGGAGCAGAACATCTGCTGATTTTTCTGTGGGTTTGAATGTTCCTATTGAGGTAAGGATGGCTATTTCCCAGAATTTGTGTTGTTTGCCTGTAATAAGGAGGAAGAATAGGACTGTTTTTTATGATTTTGGATGAGTCTTGTTGAGCTGTGTTTGGAGTAGTGGTTTATGGGCTGGTATGCTATTTTTTTAGCTGAGCTGAGCGGAGAGATTATGGCTGTTGCTGGTGCTTATTTTTGCTGCTGGGTAGAAGTTTTTTTTGGCTTTTTCTGTAATCTGTTTGGTTGTGTTGTATGGGAAGACAGTTTTGTTGTCTTTCTTTTTGCTTCTTGTATATTTTGTCTTGTTTATAAATAAAAATTTTTAATTTTTCAAAAAAAAAAAAAAAAGGTTCGTTATTTTTTAATGGCTTTAGACTTTCACCACACAAATGTGATTGTTGTTTGAATGCTCTAATTTCATACTTTTATTAATGTGATTTTTCTTTTATGTACGATATTTTTTTGTATATCATTGTATATATACTATATGTTTGTATAAGTGCACTCAATAATGTTAACCATTGTGACACAAATAAATGTTTTTTCATTCAAACTAACTTTTTATAAAATACTTTAGGGTCTGTTGGTAATGTTTCGATTTTCAATTTTTTCGTTTTTGTTTTCAATTTTTTAGAAAACTTGAAATTTAAACTCGTTTGGCAACTATTTTAGTTTTTTTTTAACTGAAACCGTTTTCAAAATTGTCTTAGAATTTAGAAACGAAAACGGACGAAAGCCATTTAATGAGATCCTACCATCGAGTCTTGTTAGCAACAAACTAAGCCTTCTACCAAAAAATTCTCCAGCAATAATATTTAACTCTCAAACTTTTTCTCATCTGATCGTCTCTCTCATCCTCTTCGTTCACAGCAGTAGCTTCGTTCAACGGCTTCGTTCACAGCAGTAGCTTCGTCCAACAAAGGAGTTCTAGCAGCAACTTCGTCCAGCAGAGGAGGTCTAGCTTCGTCTCTCTCGTTTAAAGCTCTCTCACCAAGGTAAGGGTCCTTAGATCTAGGGTTTTCAGATCTGATTTTGTTTTCAGCTTCGTCTCTCTCATTCCAGCAGCTTCGTTCCTTAGATATTGTGTTAGATCTGATTTTGTTTGTTTGTCTCTGTCGTTCCAACAACTCTGTTTTGTTTCAGATCTGATTTTTGTTTTGTTCCAGCAGCTTTGTTACTTTTTTTTTTACCCAAAGCCTTCTCAGAATTTTGGAATAGATGGTAGATGTAAGAAGAAAAGCTGTCATATTACCAACAAAGATTGTCATTCACTCATTTCAGGGAGAATCTACCCAAAGCCTTCTCATAATCAACGATTTCAATCTTGATATCGGAGACGGTTTATGCTTCACATGAATTTTTGAACATCTGAGACAACCAAACAGGTTTTCTATTTTCATTTTTTATAAAAAAAAAATGAAAACCATTTTAGATTTTATTTTTTTAAAAAACTAAAAACCGAAATTATTTCCAAACGCAACCTTAATTTATAAGCATTTTTAAATTTGAATGTCCAAACAATAGTTACTCAATGGAAGTGTTTTTTTATAAAACACTTATTAAAAAAATATTTTTTAGATTTCATAAGTCATCCCAAACGCAACCTAAATTCATTGCACAAACATGGCTTAAATAGAGCATTAGCAACCAAACATCTGCATTATTTCATCAACACGATCTATTAAGCTGTTCTCATAATTTGTGAAATACCAATTTTACTTATCCAAATTATATATTTTACCACCTTTATTCCACTTTCCAATTTGCAAAAATGTGACAAGACAAAGAAACAAATTATTATGAGCGACACCGTTCAAGAAGATTCAATTATTTCCACATTTCGACCTTGTCATCTATTTCTATCTCCAAATTTCACCAGCATTAGAGATCTTCTACCCATCATGCAATCTAGAACTACTCAAATGATGCATGCAGAAGGAACAGTTCGGCAGAAAGCAGGCAGTGTACACTGAAAGGTAAAAGCCAGACGAAACACAACACCAGAACAAAGTGAACAGTTGACGACAATCTATCAAAGACAATTTTTTCCCTCTAATGGTCTACTTATACTACAAGAATATATAGTGTAATCAGAGCTCCAATTCGTGTTAGAATTTTGTAAATTAAATGCTACAGTTACATTTTAAAAGGAAGGGTTAAGGTTATAGATTAGTAATGATAAGAAACATCCATGCTTGGACCTATAGTTAGAATTCTAAGGGGCTTAAATAGAGATTTTCGTGCCACCAGTAGACAGTGATATGCTTTTGAAATGGTTATTTCTCAACTGTTACCTTCTTCAGCACGGGACTGAAGACGTCGTGTAATTCTATTATTCTCAAGATTGCTCGCATCTGGTCTGCGTAACCTAGTCAGTTCTTCCTGTTCAACAGCAAAATGACCCGTGTTACAAAATCTTCACAAAGGCAAAGCTAGGCACTGGGAAATTGCAGAAAAATAGCATAAGCAAAGATAAAATAAATGGCAGCAAGGTAAAAGGAAGCAAAGGGCTGTGTCAGGTGGGGCAAGGAAAAAAGGCAATGGGTGACAGGTGGTAAACCTTGATAGAATTATTTTCGGAAGTAAGCTGCTCACATTCCTCAGAAAGCCTCTGCAATTCATCTCTTAGGGTGAGATTCTCACTGCTCAACGTCTCTACTCTTTGTTGTAGCTCTTCACACTCGGCCTGAGGAGAAGAAGAAATGCTAACCATCATACCGGTCTGTTACTACAACATAATTGTGAAATTTGAATACATGAAAGACTAGATATTTTCAGAAGTCAACAAATGATCTAAAACCTTAAATGCATTTTAAAAATGAGTACTACAAATCCTCAATGATGGAAGTGTTCCCAAACTTTCTTCTGATTGAGTCATATTTGAATCGCTTTTGTCAAGCCCAATGATGCACTCAATATCTTCTCTCTGTGTCCAAGCATCACTGAGCAACGATTCTATGTTCTTGTCCTTACTGTTCTATGAATTTACATCTAATCTTATGCCCCTAATTACAGCTGTACACGTTCCAACGATAATGTTTCGAATAGTACTAGCAAATCCAGGCCATATACTATCATATGACAGCCAGTTCGTGTAATTTCAAATGCAAAAGGATTTTTCAATAATAATCATGATCAATAACCCATATTATGCTCCCAATATATGACCACCACACACATTCGTCAGTCCAGCAGTGACACTAGCAATCTCATGCTAGAGACCACCTTTCAGCCAATGTTCATCCTCTGCTGCAAGCACCATGACATAGAATACAAAGCAGGAGGATTCATTTGTGAAGCAATCAGGCCATGAAGATCTAAAATACCCAATAATGATGTACATTTGGGATGTAGATCCATGATTGCGCCTTTCATAACATTTAGAAGTAAGTAAAGCATAAATTGGAAACTGACAAGGTTATAGGCCATTCCTGGCAGGAAATTGAGATACCGTGTTAACAAAAAAATCCCAAAGTTCTCCAAATTGCAAGAAATTAATAACAACAAATTGCAGGACTCTATTTGCTGAGAGCGTCTATTCCAATGACTCTGGCCAGCATACTTATTCATCAACTAGAAACTAAAAAAGTTAAGTCACACCACTCAGACCTTGCACTTACAGCAAGGTTTTCTTCAACAACCCAAGACCGATTTTATGTTCATTAATTTGAAAAATGACCTATGTACCATCAAACAACCTCCTATCACCACCATCAAATCCACTACCCATTTAACCACTGCAAGTTAGAAAAAGTGGTTTTGCCACTGATCTGCTACCAAAGCTAATAGATACCAAGGATCAAAATATCATTTTGGTGCATTCTTTTGATCATCTAAGAAATGGAAACATTTTAGAAACATAATGGAAATGGATAAAAAAAATGAGAATTTATTTTCAAAACATTTCAAAGCATTGGTCTAAATATATTTAAACATCTCGAAACATTCTAAAATAACTCAAAACATTTCGAAATACCTTGAAACATTGAAATTTTGATTCTATCACAGATTCGTTTCGATTGATAGAAACGTTTCGTTCGTTTCAAAATGATATTTTAATCCATGATAGATACTACTGACTTATCTATCATAGAGAATGATAGTTTTCTTGTGCTCGTAAGGTGCTAATGGGCCCATTGTGAAGACAGGTGTGCAATTAGGTAGTACTTCCCTTTTGTTGATGGTAGCAATTGGCTGTGTGAAGACAGGTGGGCGATTGAGCATTTGCTACTAAGTTGGCTGTGTGAAGAGATATTCAAGTTAAAAATAATGGGAACAAGTATGATTTTGGCAGTAAGGCTAAACCTGGGATCTCGATATCCCCAAAAGCAACCTTGTGGAATGTTCCATAGTCTTCAGACCAGTGCACTAGCAATGGAGTGACAGAAAGTTGCGAAATTGTGATGTGTCTTATTCAGGATGACATCACAAAGAAAATAGGGAAAATTTTTTTAGAGACACTGGAAAAAAGTCCTCAACCTTCTGGGAAAAAAAACAGTATACCTGTTTCTATTTGCACTTTAGTCATTAGTTGAAGGGCCATTAATATTATAGACAAAAGTTGAGGAAGGTAATGTAAAACTGACCCAAATTACAGAGGTGTTCTTGGTAATTTATCCTAAATCCTGAGCAGGGCTATATCCAGTCCACACAACCATAATTTCCACTTTCATTACAACTCTGGTAGATAAACAGCAAGGACCAACAGAAAGAACAGGAAAAAAAATCATACCTGCTTGCGCAATCTTGATCTCCTAGCTGACTCCCTATTGGATTGCTTCCTCTTCTGCCTTTTAAGTTCACGTTCATCCTGTCAATTCAAATTTACAGTTCCATGAAATTTCTTTCTGTATATGGGTGGGAATTGTCAATAGTCTATATTTTGAAGCAAACAGAAGGTGAGAGAATATGTATCCCACAAATTCAAAAATAAGCATCATACAACTGTATAGATGAAACATTGATATTCTCCTGGGAAATGTACCAAAATACCAATTTACAAAGAGAAATGCATTGATGCGGTTTGTTTCCGATATAGGCAGAGGGTTCCTATAACATTGTATACCACTATGGCTCTAAGAAGTTATTTGTAAGGGCATGCTTCAGCAAATGGTGGCACGTGTAACCACACCAAAACAACAACTAACAGGATTTGTCTTGATAACATCAAACCAAACAAACAAGAGATACACCAGAATTGAGGATAACTTGCAAGCTTCATACTTGAACCCATTGGTGTTCGGGCATCATGCCTTCCCGTCCAATCATGGTTGCTGCAGCCACAGCTGGTGAGACACCAGAAGCATTTGGTCCCACCTTGGACGCATTCCATAAGTCCATTCCAATATTCAGATTAGTTGCAGGCACAGAGACTACAGGATTCCCAGGCACCGATGCCTGAAGAGTTGCCACAGCAGTGTTATTCTGAGCATTTGCTGCTGACCGTTAGAGGAAATTACAAAATTAGTACATCAAATTCGAGCAAGGTAAAAACCATCACGTTGAGGGTGGGGAAAATACCATCTGCAAGCATCTGGCCAAAGCTTCCTTTCTTACTTGAAGCAAATTCCTGTAGTCAAATTGGATACATTTTACTTTGACAAAAAAACAAATTACATTCTCGGACTGGACTATGGTGATAAAAACACTCGACATTCTGCCACTTTTTAGAGGATTTAATTCAGAGGTCACTCCCACAACAAAAAAGGCTAAATGGCACCGAAAATAAATACACACATGCCTGCGATAGTCAAAAAAATTCAAGAAACATACGTGTTGGTTGGTGTTCTCATCACTTGAATCAGATGAACCACCACTTCGACTTTCGGCACTGTACATGAATTAATTTTACAATCAGAAGAGCAAAAGGAAACACGAAGGATACATCTTGACTCCTAATAGATAATGAAGAACCGAACTGATCTAAAAACATGTCAAGGAAAAGAAAAGTCTAGCACACCTTTGAGTGGCACCATCATTTCCTGAACCTGAAGCCCCATTCCCCATTTCTCCAGCCTTGCCACCAGGCAAGCCAGAATTTCTTGAAGCTCCCTTGGATTTTTGGCTTGAAGCCCGGTCTTTCACCTCAGGGGCTTTCCCTTCAGATTCAGCATTTGTCTGTGCTGTGCTTGGAGTCTACCAAAGAAATGCCAAAGGAAAAAAAAAATACAAACATGAAGGTAATGCTGGTTTTGTGGAAATGATATAAAAAGATCATGTGTTACATATGTTCAACAAGTACATAAGCAAATTAACGAGAAAACCAGCTTCAGAATAGAACATGAACTCAACACCAAAAATCAAATGATCAAAAGAAAATTTTTGATTACCATCGCCATATTAGGATGAGCATAAATTCCCCCAGCAGGATATAGAGCAGGATAGGCGATAGGAGTCCCATATGGTGGCATTAAAGGATGCTGCAAAGTCATCGACAGAAAAAACAAAATAAGCACTTCGTCCCACAAGAGTCTAAGACCTTCATCCCACAACAAAAGTCAAAAGGCCATATCAAGGCCAAACAACACACACCTCCATCTAATCTTAAAAAACAAATTGAACGAAGTAATAAGCAGAACAGATAAACACCTGGCTTCCCCACAGATAGGGATGAGGACTGGGAGAAGCAACTGGTGAGGCAAAAAAGGGGGGAGTAGCTCCAGCTCCATAATAAGCCTGCACGAGACAATCAATCGGTTATGTACTATGATAACCTGGCCTTGTTTAAAATATAAATCTGTGAAGACATTAAAAGAGCAATGAAAACCAAGGTGCTTTCATCACAAACCTGCATAGAGCTTGACCAGTCAGGATAAGGTGTTGTTGGTGTCTCCTGTAAAAGGGAGAGTGAATGATGAAAATACTTGAAATTTATGTACTTTATATTTATATATATATATATATATAAAGAAAAAGAGAGAGGACCTGAGTTGAAGCAGCATGCTTGGAAGATTTAGCTGCTGCGCTCTCTTCCCCAGCCCCCATTGCATGAATAGAAGATAAACTCAGTAAGCTACCTCAAGTCAACTAATCCAGTTCATCAAGATTTCAATGACACCTCATGAAGCACCTGCAGACATCAAATTGAACAGAAAGACATCAGAATTTGCTCTTTCTTTCACTTAAAATAGATGTTTGCCACTAGAACCTTCGAAAAAAGATTCAACAACTCAAATGACTTGGAACAAGGTTGTTGAACCATGTATTCAAATAGATGCTATTTTTGTGACTGTTAATATCATGAACAATAGATTATTTATGAATTCAAACACCTAGTTTAGTCCCAATTAAGGGAGTCTAGGAGGGATGGTTCCAAAGATTTGAAGATTTTTCATTTTCAATATGTTTCCAAAACATTGCTATTTCTGAGCTGGCCGAAACGAGACATATGAACAAGATTTTATTCTGGTAATGGTTACAGCAAACCATTGTAAATTATTGTGCAGGTGTTTGTTGCTGGTACACAAGCATTTTTGGTACATTTATATTGACTGGTACACATTTAGGCATAATGTCCAAGATGTGATTGTATAACATATTAATAAAATTTAAATATGGGCTATTTGCTTTTGAGTTTTTTATTATAAGATTTAACTTTGTTACAACTTGTTAAATTATATAACATGGTATGGTACAAACATAAACTTGAAGAGTATGAAATGCCATTTAACTTAATTACACATGAGGGTCAAAATTTCGTTTTTGGAAATTGTTTCAGTTACCTTGGAAGCAAAAATGTTTCGAATTTTTTTCAAAAACGTTTCAAAAACATAATGAAAACGGATAAAATTTTTTGAGAATTTATTTTCAAATTATTCCTAACCATTAATCAATATATACTGAAACATCTTGAAATATTACAAAACATTGGTTGAAACATACCGAATTCTCTTAAAACACTTCAAAACATTCCGAAACACTCGAAATATTAAAATTTTGATTTAATCACTAATTCATTTTGGTCACTTTAAAAAATAAAAAAGTTTCGGTTGTTTCAAAACAAAATTTTGATCCTTGATTACATATATAAGCTATATTCTTTTATAGACATCATGAAAGTTTTCAATGTCTAAATCTTTTGACATGCATTACATGTGTTGCACTGCTATTGTACAAGAAAGAATCTATTAAAAATATCAGAGTAGTAAAAGCAATGCTCTTCATAATATGTATTTTTCACAATGACGTGTTCTCTTTGATATGTATTTTTCTTTTCTTTTCTTTCTTTTTTTTTTTTTTTTTTTTTTT